ATGTATGGGTACACTAACATTTTCCTAGGGAAAACACATTTTTAATCAGATTAGTAAAGGCATCTGTGACATAACCCTTTCCTCCCCACCAAAAATAAAATTTAAGAACCACTGATTCATGGTGGTTTTATCTATAGATGCATTCAATTCACAACTTTTTTTTTTTTTAAACATAACAGAGGTTACATTTTAAAACTAGCTGGAAATTCGAACAAGAATTCACACCAAACCCAAACACACATACACAAAATGCTAGAGAGAATTCTGAAAAACATTCTGATAATGGGTGATGACTTCTGTTCCTAGGGTTATATTAAACGTAGAAAGGTCCTAAGCGGAGAAGGCATAGTCCGAGGATGAGACATTCAGAAATTAAGCCTGAAAGCATGGTTGCTGTATAGCCAGAAAAGCACACACACATAGGCTAGTGCCTGCTGTCAGATGCTTTCCTAGGACCTGCCCCGAAAGCGTTCCCAAGGATCTATGTGTGAATTTCATCATTGCCCTGGGCCAGTTTAAGAGATTTTGTCCTGGGATACTACTGTATCTCTCCTATACACAAAATGGCACAGTGTGTCTTCAGACCACTTCTCAAGGTAACTCTGAGAGGTTGTACATAGATGCATCAAACTAATTTCCTGAGAAAGTTATGGAACACTTTATCCAAAGAGACCCAGAGAACCAAGACCAAAACCCTACAGCAGATGCTAGACATTTAGCTTAGAATCCTAATAATTTTTCAAATACTCTTTGATGCTCCATTAGAACACTCTACTGTGTCCCCAGACAATATGCCTGGTACATAGCAGGCACGGGATAAATAGCTGCTTTATAGTTAAGTGGCTAATTAAGAATAAGAATTTGGTGAGGCCAGGCTCACGGGGTTCCTTTTAGGTGGGTGTTGGGGTTCGGGTGCAGTCTTCTAATATCAGATGTTTACTGAGTCTGGGGGTGTGTCTCCAGTCCATCCATCTGCCATCTCCACCCAGGCATCATCGATCCGCGAGCTCCTTTGGTGGGCAATTGCCCAAAGGGCAGTTGCTCCCACATGGGGGTCATAGGAAGACAGACCGGACATCGAGGCTTCTCTGTCCAAATGGACTCTGGGATCAAATGCGTGGAGAAGATGGCAGACCTGGTGATTCAGCTCTCTCAGGAACCACTCACTAGTTAGTATTTCGTTTATGATCTACGTATTCCATGAACTATCGCGGTGCCTCCGACCAAAGCCAGCTCTGTGGCTTGTGGGGAATGGTGGTCTGGAAACTGCAGGACCCTCCCTGGAAGGGGGTCGGACTCTAGGTTTCCAACTCATCGCCCTTCCTCATTCAGTCGATGTTGACAATCAACAGTGACTTGGCTGACTCAATCTAGGTTTTCCATCCATTCCTGTGGTCCCCACCCCATGGTCCAAGCAGAAACCCCCTCTCCCAGGGCAAATGATCACCTATTAACGTGCCAAGAAGGTTCTCTTTACCAGTGTGAGGAAGAAGAGAATAGGGCCCCTCCGAAACCTGTGCTCTTCATTTGCTGGGAGGGATGTGGAAGGGAAAACCAAATCAATCAAAGGAAATGGATGAATGGGAAGGCATGCTTGCTGAATCTTCCTATAGGACTGTCTTGATGTTGGGTATCTCCGAGGGTCACCCCAGGCTCCACAAAAGTAGCCATGGAGTTTCTGTGGGATTTCCTTTTATATTTATTTGAGAGAGAGAGAGTATGTGAATGAGAGGGAGAGAGCATCTGAAGCCAACTCCACACCGAGCACAGAGCCTGACGTGGGCTCCATCTCACAACTGTGAGACCATGACCTGAGCCAAAACCAAGAGTAAGATGCTTAACTGACCGAGCCCTCAGGTGCCCTGATTTTTTTTTTTTTTTTTTCCGGTATCTTGGGAAAACAGTATGGAAGCCATACACAGACATAGGATGAATGACCCATTTTTGGTTGGAATTTCAGTAACAAAGTACATATTGCATAGCTCATGAAGAGCAGAGGTTTGGCAGTTAGCTTTGTCTTCAACTGGTGACAAATAGAAAATCCTAATAAATGCAGCTTGCTTGGTGACAGCTTAGAAAAGATGGGGAGCCCTGGGTGTGAGGGGGGATGGCAGAATGGGGTCTCGGCATGGCAATTTAGGAAGTGGTTGGACTTGAGGGCATCCTACATTTCTTCTTCTTCTGGAGCCTTCTCTAAAAACCCAAGCTGAGCTAAGGGACATTCCTTGGTGCTCACACAACACCCTTCTCCCTTAGCACATTTATTGAAAGTATTAGCTTATGGGGTGCCCCTGTCCCTAACTGGAAGGAATTCCTTGAAAGTACAAGACAGTGTGTGGAACGGAGAAAAGGGGTGTTAGGCTGAACTGCACTGGAGTAAAGACATTGGTCGACTCTGCAAATCTCCCCACAAAGGACTTTGGACACAAACGGCTACAGGAAATCCACACTATCACCTGAATGACCTGAATCCTGAAAACGTCACCTTCTGGAAACAGAAGTAGGTTTCTGGTTTCCAGTCTCTGCTCTTTGCTTCCACCCAAGCTCAGGGCTCTTACCACTCCAGCCCCTATCTGCTCTCTGCTGTCCTCTGCTTTTCTTTCCAAAATGAGCTGCCCCCCCCATCCTCAGTCTCCTGCAGCCTCAACCAACAAGCAGAGGAAAAGGGAAACCTTCATTTAAGATGCTGGGTTCACACGTTCTCATTTGGAGCCGGTGCACTCCAGGCAGTTTGCAATACAGCAAGACACCCTCGTTGAATTTCCTATTTTCAACCAGCACTTTGCTCTTCTAGAACACGCAGACATGGACACACGCACATCCCTAGCCCTTCTGTATCTTCCTCCTCCTCCTCCTCCTAATATTGAGAATTTCATCTTACCACTAAGGGTGGTTTCAGGATTCCATTTGGAATATTACCAGCAAAGAGGCACAGGGTACCATTATAACCAAAATGATAGGAATATTGCTGGGATATTTAAATTAAGTCACGTCTGAAAGCAGTCACAACACGTTGCTTCACCATTTGGAGATGCCTGTGTCTCTCCCTGGTGAATGTGGCATTAATTAGTTATGCACGGTTATTGCCGGCAAAGAGCGAGATCATTGTAAGTTAGCGAATTTCAATTTTACAGCAGGTGTGTGATTTTGAGATTTTTATAAATTGTTCATGTGAGGATAAGCCATATAATTTTATTTTTTTTTCCTGTTCAGTATAGTAGTGAGATACTGAGGGCACATATACCAAAAAGCTGCAATTACCGTCTACTAAGATAAGATAATAATTTTCAGACAAACGAATGTGGTATAAACATGCGATTTTGTATTTATGGCTTATGAATCTTGCTTTAGTAATTACATGAGCCTACAGGGTAACTTGGTGTTTTTATTTTTTTTTTCCTCCCTCATAACAACTTGCCATGTGACCTTGGGAATAACACATCTTTATTTCTACATTTCTGGGTCTATAAAACAGGCTCAACACTGTGGGGCTGGAAATAATGATTAACACTCTGGATGTTTCCTTGTAGTACATGGTCAGGTAAAGGCTTAGGAGGAGCAGACGCATGTTTCTGGAGGATGGGGAGACGTCAGGAAAAATTCACCCTCAGTTTGCTATTGTCCACCACCTCTCCGCAAGAAAGGAATTTTCACTGTGGTTTTGTCCAGTAAGAAACCGAGAAGTGACCCAAGGCTCACAACGACACAAGAGACAATGGGCACGGACTGCTATCTTTGCCTGTGTTCTCTTCTGATGATTCCGTGTCCTTTCATTTATTTATATTCTGAATTTTGTCTCATTGCGCCTATGTTTGAAACACCTCTGCAATAGGTGAGATATGAATAAAAAATGAAAAAAAGAGTGCTTCCCTTTGTCGTCAGTATACTAGAGAGATGATCTAGGCTAATTCAGGTGTTCTAAAAGATTTATAGGCAACAGAGCTTTTTAAAAATGCATTAACCCTTTTCATACAGCCTGGAACGCAGCCATATACTTTTTCACAGACCAGAAAGCCAGTCGGCCAAGGCATAGCTGCGTTTTTCTGAGTAGCGCTACTGACATTTGGGGCCTGACACGTCTATGTTGGGGGGCCCTCCTGTGCGCTGTGCATGTCAGGCAGTGTCCCTGGCCTCCACTTCCTAGATGCCATCGTACTTTCCTGCTCCTGCTATGACAACCCACAATGTCTCCAGACAGTCCAAACATCCCCAAGGACTGGCAGAGACACCCCTTTCTCCCTGACACCAGGGGTGCCGGAATGTTCCAGAAGGAGCCCTGAACAGGAGGAAAGAAAGCATAACATTGCAGTGTTGCCGCGCACCCCACCAAGACCACAGTTCCTCGGCATTCCCAGTCATTCCTTGATCTATGCTCGGCAACACCAGAGTCCCTGCACACAGATACCACACGGCCAATGGGAATTACAGTTTCTTATAGAGGAAGCCAAATGCCCATTTTGGAAAATCCAAATGAAACGGGTCTTACTTCCAATGTCTTTGAACTTTTGAACTTTGCATTTGACTCCACACCTAATTTTCTCTTCTCAGGCAAGGGCTCATAAACCTTGAAGAGCAAGGTGTCTTTGGGGGAGGGGAGCAAGACCACTCCAGCGAACTCTGACGTTTGGGGACTTCGTGTCCCTCCATGGACGGAATTCAAGGGGCAAATGTGATCCAACCTCCTTAATAACCAGATGTTTGCAATAATCAGAAATCCATCTTTGGCTGTAGCCATTTTTCTGTTCTCCAGCATTCAGTCTCAGAGAGAATTTACATAACAACATGTGACATGTAGAATGCTTAAAGGCACCAACCATGACAGGACAAATTACACTCATTTTTCAGTTCTCTTTGCAAGGTGCTCCGCGGCAGGCGCGCGCAGGGCTGCATGCTGGGGCGGTTCTGGTGGGGCAGTCAAGACCAGCATGCACTCACAACCAGGAGGGGTGGTGCGGGAGGCCCGCCGCAGGGCTGGGGGGGGGGGGGGCTGCCCCACTTACCCGCCATAGGCCGGGATCGGGGGCGGGGGCGCTGCGGCGCGGAAGGTGTTGTACACGGTGCGGCCACGGCCTCGCAGGTGCGCCCCTCGGTAGGCGGCCGCGGCGGTGGCGGCTGGATACGGGAAGCCGGGCACTGTGGGGTGGGAAAGGAGAGAGCAGAGCAAAGGCTTTCAGAAGCACACCGGTTGCGGAGGGCAACGCGCCCACCCAGGACCCTTCTCCCCGCAGCCCCAGGCTGGACACCGCCCCTGGAGAAGGGAGGCGGGGTTCCAAAGGCGGCCAGCAGGGAGGAGGTCAAGGTCCGATTCCAGACAGAGCGGGTTTCCTAAGGGGTCGGTCCCTGTGCCCAAGAGAACATGGTAAGTGACAAGCATTTACAAAGAATTCGTGGTAACAGGAGACAAGCTCACTGCTCAAAGTTAAAATTCTACAAAGGCGGATTGCACGAAGTATGCGCTGTGTTGCCAGGATCTAGGTGTCTACCTGCACACACATGTATACTGTGTGTAAGAGATATTTATGTGTCTGAGCACACAGTACACGTATATAATGTAGCCAAGCACATGTGTGCATGTGTAAGTGAACATGTGTGTCCATGTGTACACGGTGTCTACACATTTGTATGTGGGTGTGTACCCAGGCATGTTTATATGTGCGTGTATATATGCATATACTTGCATTTCCATATGCGTACATATTTCAATGTGTCCCTAGTTATTTCTGGGGCTGAACTGTGTGTGTGTGTGTTTGTTGTCTACTGATTGCCTTCCCTATCCCATTTTTCTTTCCCACATTTTCCTTTATGTACACCTACTGCTTGTTAAAGTTTTTAAATTGCAAGATAGTTTTCCTGCAGACACGTGCATGCATCACAAGTGTGCAAACTCCTTATGCGCCAAGAAACGAACCGTTACCAATGTCCCATCAGCCCGCAAACCATTTAACAGCTAGGCGCACACACCAACCGTAATTGTAGAGAAGTCTGGGAACTCAGCTCTTAAGAGGGTGTGGGCTGAGTTTTCCTCCTTGGAGGTAAATTCTCTGAGTGGGATGGCTTGCTGAGGAGTCAAGAGGGAAATTAAGCCTGATGCCAGAGACCCCTGAAAATTCATTCTCTTGCCTCTGCATGGGATGTCCTTCCTCCTAGGGTGTCTGCAAATCCAGACGCACCGGGGCCCAGGAAGCCTTCAGGAAACCACTTCTGCGCAATCTCACAGCACTCTCGCTATGCCAGCCCCGAGCGTGCCATCCCCACTGAACTGCAGGCAAGACGCCCGAATGGCATTCCAGAGAGGAGGCACATTTCTGGGAAATCATACAGGGGAATCCACTGAAGCAGGAGATCTATATTAAAGGCCCAGAACACCCAACCTCTCATGGGTAATGGTTTCGAAAAGAGGGAATCTGTCAGTGTGTTACCTTTTCTGTCCCCTATCAACCAGCAAGTTCTTCCTGGCTTTTCCCCTCATCGCCCGTCCATCTTTGCTTCTGCCTATGCCTCCCCAAGTCGGCGGAAGCCCCCCAGATTTATCCACATTAGGTTCTAAACTTTGGACATCTGAGTGAATGTAGGGGAGTCTTAAACACGTAAACAAGAGAGCAACCGGTAAGTTGTGGACGGGCCAAAGGATGGACAGACTCTCCAGCCAACCCCCATCCTTGTCCCAGGTTCCTTTCCCACCTGCTCCCCGACACAAAAGGAGATTTCCAGAGGGAGGGAGAAACAGGTGGAAGGAAGCAAGGGTTTCCTCCCTTGCATGCCACCCCCTCTCTCCTGCTCCTTTTCTCCTGGGACTTCACACAGTGTTTTTAGGACAGACGGCGTTGGGAGGGACAGGAGCCTCCAACTTCAGAACATCCAACCGCCAGGGAGGCTCGCAAACATAGGTCATCAACAGATGCCCACCTCCCTCCGGGAGCTCATTTTGGGGAGCACCTAACCGCTTGCAAGATGTTATGTCTCGTGCTGTGTTGAAGTTGCCTGCAGCTTATATCCAAACTGCCAGTGGGGGGCTGCTCCCCTTCTCACCACCACACTCAGGAGCAGAAGCCGTTCACCTGATCTGTTTATTAGCTGCGACGTCCTTGGATACACCGTATCCTAGCTGCGTGGGGCTGGCCGGGGACAGGGAGACGAAGCGGGTGGGGTCCCCCACAGCAGCCATCCCCAAGGCCCTACACCCCACAGAATCGCAGGGGTTGGAACAGAGCCCTTGAACCCAAAGTGCAGACTGACTGACTGTCACTTGTTATTCTCTGCCCGTTCTCATGGATTCCACCAGATCTTTCTCTCACCAAGGAGGGTACGATGGTGGGATTGTGCAAGCGATTCAGAATGATTTTATCTTTCCATTTGTGTCTTAAAAGACCATACATGTTGTTTTTAACCTCTTTTTCTTATTGTTGTTCATGTCAAATCGCGCAGCTGTCCTTAATTCTCAGCTTCCCCGCCTCTGCTCACCCACATCCCCCTGCTTGTGTTTCAACCAACATGCGTGAATTCGCGGAGAGGTGTCCGTCCTAATGGGGAAAGCCATTAAGTCCTAACACCATAAAAGCCCAGAAGTCATGCGACATGAGCTGTTTGCTTCAGGACTGGCGAGAAAATGAGTGAGCGGGGCTGTGACGCCAACTCCATCTTGCCACAGTTCAAATATTAAGTTTTCATAGGAACGCCCGGGATTTTGAAATAAAGAAAATGAAAAATTCACAATCTGGCAGAGCAGCTGGCTGTCTGTGTGAGGAGACACGGTCATTATGCTGACCCACTCATTATCGCCGGCTCCCGCGGACATTGAGTGAGACCAGATCCCTCTCAGCGACAAGCAGGTTCTACAATAATTCTTAGAGGATTTAGATGTTGAGATACAACATGAAACGGAAGCGAGGCTGGGGAGCAGGGCAGCACGAGCTGCTCAAAAGTGCGGGGCCAGGACTCCTCGTGTGTCCCTTGCCTACAGGGGGGAGACGTCCCTCCCGAAGCGGGAGGAGGTAGGACAGGTCTCCACGTAAGGCTCTCCGGGGCTCTTCCAAGTTAACTCGGGGCTAATCCCAAGTTAGAGGGATTCTTACTTCGTTAAAGGTACCCAGCAAGGACAATACATCCACTCCTGGGTTGAAAACTTGCTTTTCTGGGAGGCCAAGTGGCCTTAGGCAAGATAAGGAGGTCCTGCACGTGATGCTTTGGACCTGAGGCTTCATGCAGGAAGCATGGGTGTCTCCCAGGTGGATGGATGGTTTGCTCAGCTGTCCCTTTCTTGGTACCCGTCTCCTGCTACTGAGGAGTCTCTTTATGAACCCTCTGGTTAGTCACCACGATTAATGAACATTTGCTTCCTCTTTGCCTTCTTGCTTTCCTTCCTTCTTATTCTGACCCTGTTTCCCCCTTCCTCCTTTCCTTCCTTCCTCCCTTGCTTCCTACTTGTATTTATGTCTTAATCTCCTTTGGAAGGAAGCAGCCACAAAGCTCCCTGGGTGTCCTCGCCATCAAGTAGCTTGGATGACAGAAAGGAGAGAGAAGGGCTCCCGCTGTTGCTACAACGTACACTCTGCGAGGGCAGAGAGCTCCCCATCTGTTGATTCAGAAGAGTGCCCGGCAGGGAGCAGGTGTGTGGATACCCTTTGGAGGTGAACCAGTGTTCATCTCCCTCCTTCTGGGACCACAGAGGCAGAGCCTCGTCACCCTGTACCTTTTGGAACACTGCCCTCTATACGAGGTGTCCTGCCCAGGAGTCGAACCTACATGGAGGCCAACGACACAGCAGGCCCTCGGTCAGGATCTCTGTAAAAGTGACTTCTACAGCCGGGCTCACAGGTGCTGGGCTGGCCCCGGGAATGGCAACCACACTTGGTGTATGTGTGGTTCTGATAAAAAGGGAGAGGACCTGGATCAAAGTACAATACTTGGAATTACTGCAAAACCTTAATTCACTGAAATTCACATTCACTGCTGTGCTATGTTGGGATTTGGAGATCAGGTTCTTGTTCTGGGGAAAAGAAGGGCTCAAATGCAAACCACCCCCCCTCCAGACACTGATACCTATGAAAGGGCCTGTGGGGTCAGGTTCTTTCCTTCACCGAACCCCAGACAGTGCTCTCCGGCAACTGCGCAATTTGGAGTCTCTGAGTACAGTAAATGTGTGCCACAAGGAACAATGGATAGAACCTGCTTAGAATCCTTAACTCCTCGGATCTGTGGCTGAGCCTTCCGTGTTTCTCCTCATCCCCACTAGAGGAAGTCCCCCCGCCCTGAAGCTGGTTTAGGATTCTGAGTGACTCTCTTGCCACTAAAACAAATGGTCAATTGTGTGGGTAAAAACAAAAACAAAACACCCACAACTGTTTGTTAAGCTTCCTCTGGACTCCACTTAGGACGGAAGGAACAGATTCATTTACTTGCCTACCATGTGCACTGGCTTGTTGATGCTGGGACACGGTTAAGTGCATATTTGAAGCAATTACCTAGACAGATGATTCAGATACAGATGAAACAAAACCGAAATGACTTTATCCTTGAACCACATAGAAGACATCTCAATTATGTGCTTACTTTGGGACGTGACACCTATCTTTTGTTGAGTCAAAGTTATCACATTGTCTATCAATGCCCCAGTTCAGGAGTTTGGATCCAGTAAGTGGGCAATAAATGTTTAATAAATCTAATGCAAAAATGCCAAATGGAAACTCACAATGTCCTCTCTGATTCTGGAACGGAGTACATCAATGTTAATAAAAGTCATAAACCTGTCACCCTGTCCCATGTTTGTAAAAGCCTCTTTGTTAATGAAAGGACAGGGTTAGAAAGAAAAGACACCAGATTATAGGCATTTTTAAAACCCTGGTGTTGGAACTGATTTTTTTTTTCCCCTAGCTGAACTTCCAGTTAATAAACATGTAAAGAGAGCATCACTGGGGAACAATGGAAAGTATTCAGGTTGCTTTGCAGACCCAGTATAAATCCTTAGTTGTTGGCACGAGGGAGACAAGGGAAGAAGACAGGAGACGAGACAAAACAACAACACAGGTTCATTATACTGGAAAGGTTCCCTCTTAAACCTTATCCAGCATGAATCAAAGTGAAAAATCTGGTATCAGGGCCACGAAAATTGGATTTGGTTCATAAGCTAAAAATGA